TTTTTTTTTTTTTCTTTTTTTTTTTTTAAATACCCTTGTTTACCCGCCTTCTCCGTCTTTTCTTCCGTTTCCCTCCAAGCAATATTCGACTGCATCGCACGGTTCTCATTCATTTATCGATTCACCATTACTCCTCTTTCCTCTTCTCTCTTACTCTCGAGCTGCGATTGGCTCTCGCCATATGTGCGGTTTATTGGTTTTTTCCCCTCCCCTCTTTTCTTTTTTTAATTTCCTCTTTTTATCTATACGTAGCATCGGCATAGAATTTCTTCCATCTTCTTTCTTCTTGGTGCAATTCGAGGAGGATTTGCCAATCGAGAGTTGTGCGCGATCTTTGATCGGATTGTGTTATTGGAAACTGGAGGAATCTGGGTTGGTGAGGGAGGGACATATTCGATGATTGGTTTAAGTGGTTTTGTTTTTTTTCTTGGTTATAAACGTAGATTTGTAGAATTTAATTATCGCATTACTTCTTCTTCTCTTCTTTAAATCTCTTTAAATTGATTTTATTTTTAATACTCGAAGATTTTTTTCTAAATTTATGTGTAAGATAAGATTTGTTCAGAGGATTTTTATTAAACTTTCAAATAAGATATTGAATCTTTAGATTTCTTTTATAATTTTTGCTAGTGTTCCATTTCTCTCAATTAATTTTTTTTTTGTAATTGGCATTAATAATTTTGATAGAAAAATTACAGTAATTTCGATCGTAGATTTAACTCAATATGCATCGATCAGATCGTTCAAGTTTTTCAACATTTTTATTCGGATCTCGGTCTATCATTTTATCAAAACTCGTTCAACGTTTTCGAATAATAGTACTCAATGCGAATAAATACTCATACACTAATGAGAACTTGAGCGCGATTCTCGAATTATCTAATTGAAATCCAAATTTCATATCAATTCAGATTCTCGAATGTCTCGTTAATAACCATTCGTGCCTTCGAGGGTTGAAAAATTTGTTTCACACAAATCGTTCGTGAATGATATTTCATCCCGATCGATCGAGAATTAAAATTTCTTCCTCGAATTTAACTTTTATATTTCAAATGTTTCGACGTATTCGAAATATTTAAAAAAAAACTCTAATCAAGAAGGAAATTTTCTTTTCAAAATTGGAGAGGATCGATAAACAACAGTCGTTGAGAAAGGGTTGTAGATCACGCGGGGAAAATAGAGAGAGAGGGAAGTTACTTTCGCTTTGTCTCGATTCTCTCTCGAACTCGACGCTTATTGCATAATTGAAGGATCCTGGTAAAAGGCCATTCATGGTAGATGCAACGGTAGTATCGGTTCATGGCCGTCGAAATTATTCAACGAACCGCCACCGGATAATAATTCGGGGATGAGATTGAACGTGGGGATGTGAAAACTTACTAGATGGACCGTGGAATTGAATTTTGAAAGAGGGTTGATGAAAAATTGAGGGAATTTTGGGCTGAGGAAAAAATTTTTTTGGAGGATTTCGAGAATGGAAGAGATAAATTTTGAAATATTAACGAAAATTTTTAAAAGGATGTTAAAAGGGTGATTTTATAGAGGAATAATAAAATGAATATCGTAGAAAAATAGGATTTGGAAGATTATAAAGCAAAGAATATAAATAAATAATTCGATATGAAAAGAAGTCAGTTTTATGATGACTTTTTGACGAATTGTATGATTTTAAGAAATTAAAATAGTTTTCATATTACGATGAAGAAAAATATCGAGGAGGGTTTAAAGTTGATTTTATTCTTTTTAGAATGAAATAATGAAATAATTTTTCGTGACTTTCATCGTAAAAGAGATTGTCGAAGGGGAAAGGTTAGAAATAGTTTCATGTGATAAAGAGAAAGGTTAAGGGGTTAGAGTAGTTTCATTCGAGGAATAATTTTATAATGATACAGGAAAATTAAAGGGGCGAAAAGAAAATGGATGGAAAAAAAAAAAAATGTAAAACAAAAGCATCGAAGTAAAGTAGATTTTATGAAGTAATAAAATGACGAAGAATTAATGCAGTTATATCTATATCGAGAGGAAGGAACATGTAGGCGTTTGATATTACTTTAATTTAAAATTTATTTATAGTATAAAGATATAAAGCATATCACAATTGCATTATGTTACAATGGTACAAAGTTACTTAATGTATTCAATATGGATAGAATTTTTTTTAACTAAACGTTTCAACTTTTGTTCAAATCCATTCTTTTTAAATTATTCTTTATAATATTTTCCCCTTTACATTCATACATTCTTTGTACGTCCTTTTAAAGGTATATATCTTTGATCCAATTCAATGGACTACCTTATAAAAGAATATACACAATTACCAATATATTACATTTCCTTTCAACAGCTATTCGCGAAAGAATCGTAACGTGGATGCAATCGATGAATTCAATGGCAATCATTAAAGTGAACTGTCTCTATTCAATTATAAATCTCCCTAAGAATAGATAGCAAGGACACTATCAAGACAAACGAGATATCAATTAAAATCATATAAAAAGCTGGATGGAAAATTTGTAATCTGAATCAAAACTATATCTCTGCAACTCTCCAATAAAAATATACTCGGCCTAACTCGATTTCTTCGCTATTCGAAATTCATACAATATTCAAATCGAAGTGAAGGAAGATAAACGTGGCGTTACCACGATATTCGTATAAACGTTAACATCGATAACGCCACGAGAAGGTTTGTCCAAGAGTTTGTCTGTATCCATGTAAATCCTTTGGTACAGTTCCATTAAGATTCATGGCCCCGACGTCAGATCCGATTTTGAAGAATCGGCGAAGTGGGACGAATCGAGACGATGTTTGCAAAAGTTTAAGTAGTAAACTTTTCGATGCGGAACATGTCCGTGAAATCGTGGATAACATGAGGTGGGATCACGAGGGAATAAAGATTCGACGTTTGTGTATCGTAAATTTTATACCGTATAAAAGGGTGGCTAGGAAGAGGGTGGTTAGGAGTGGATAAAAATATATATCTGCAGGATAAGATTATTTTCAATTTCACGTACAACTTTGTAATTTTCTCGTAATATCTTTTTCTTCTAATTGCATTGCTCGATATCGCAACAACCGCTATCCCGGTTCGTTATTATTAGCGAGAGTGGTAATTACAATTTATTTGTAGCTTGTATAATGCTGTTATTTTATAGTTAATTTATTTCGTAGCCACGAACAATATTAGAAGTTACAATTTATTTGTGTATAGGTTGTACAAGAATAATTTTATATATTTCAATAATTCGTTCATGATTCCTCTGGAAAATTTTCTAAAAACTTTCGTTCTTCATCTCGTTATTTTCTCTATATGTCAAAATTACAAAATTCCATTGAATAGACACAGAAGGAACACGGTTAGGAGCGAAGCTCATCGCGCTAGATTACCCACGGTTAATTATCTTACACGGGTAATTATTAAAAGAATGAGTGGGCGTATACGCGTGCAGGTATTCACGCGGTGACTTTAGATATGATTAGCCGTCGAGCGGAAAAACAGCTAGCATTAATTATCATAGTCCACGTAAGCATTAGCTTCATTAGCATCAGACCTTGCTTCGTAACGAGCCACCGGTTAGTCAAGTTCAATACTGTTCCAACGTTTCCACTTCGATAAAGAAAAAGTTTATAGGTGTGTTAGCTTCACATAAATCTCTCGTTTCTGCGATGTCTGTAGGCGTAGAGGTTAGTGCACGTGAAGTTTCGAGAGAGAGAGAGGGGGAGAAATAATTCTCTCTAAGGGTAACTCGCGAAAGTTATCGTTTATTCGTTTTCACTTTGAGTACATATTTATATATATATATATATTTCTGCTATATCGTTTTTTAAAACGCGATCAAAACGAGGTGATAACGAGGCCGCCAAAACGTTGTACAGACATTCATAAATTATGAAACGTTCGACCTATCTCCGTCGACGTTTCGGATCTGGCACGTGTCGAGGATAATCGAGCAGAGGATAAAATTTTCTGAAGTGGGTCAGCGTGTCAAAGCTCCGCGAGGATGCTTTCGATATCGGGCTTTCTATGTATGTTAATCATTCATTGTTTTTAGCCATAAAAAAATATATATATATGTATGTACTTGAAATTATCTTCCTACGAATTGTATATATTTTTAATCTCTAGAATTCTACGCTTTAAGTACTTAAAATTTTTTAACAGTTGGTGTGCAAATTTGAGGGTTTGGATATTAGAAGATGAATCTTTGGTTTCTCGAATTTAATTAGAATTGTTAAATGAAGATTGCAGGGTAAATAATCGAGAAGTTACTCGAGGATTTGATGTAATAATAATAAATTAAAATTCTATGGAATAATGTGGACAAAGAAGATAAGGGATCCAAAACTTAGGATATAATTTTATAATATGAAATAATAATGGTTTAGAATATTTTGTGGATGTATAAATTAAAATTCTATGGAATAATATGGATAAAGAAGGTAAGGGATTCTTAGGGAGTAATTTTACAACGTGAAATAACAATGGTTTAGAATATTTTGTGGATGTAGAGAAATTAGGTCGGATATCGAAAACTGTCCGTCAAGATGCAATTTACCGTTTTGTTAGCGATCGAGCAGATTGGTGGGAAGCTGGAGGACGATCAGATTGAAATGTTTCTCTCGTAATCGATTGGTCTCTAAAACTCGTTCACCAACTCGAAGCATGAATCCATCTGTGTCACGGACAATTTCCTTGTTTTCCTTGTCATAAAACAGTCGCTCAGAAATTTTTCTCTTCCTCGTATCCCATTTTCACGAGGCCTCGCGGCGACGTACAGGGTCGTAATCGTGCATAAATCTATATATATATATATATGTACTTGTGTGTTTGTAGTGAAATATAGTTGTATTGAAATCAAGAACATTTCGCATATATTCCGTTTTCGGATAACGTTTTAAATAAAGTAATAATTAAATAAAGTTTTTATAGGAGTAAAAATGAAATTTTTTTTTTTGCTCAACCGTTTTATCATTCGTGGTTTTTGCTTTTGAAATTTTTTTTTCAGAAACGATATTTACTTTTTTTTTTTCTTTTTTTTCTATCGCAGATGTGATATCGTTAATTATTCGTCGTCGTTAATTATTATTTTATTTATTTATTTAAATATATGATTTAAATACTTCGTTAAATGAGCTGGTAATCGATGCCACGTAGAATCTCAATTTAAAAGGAAAAAATAAAAAGTTTGGTTACGATATAGTATCCTGTAATTAACTGTATAAATAATGTAGTTAATTAAAGATGCTTGAATTTCAAATTAACTTCAAACAGTGAGTGAATTTCTATTTAACTTATTTTCCCAAACGAATCGATAATTTTTGTTTGTTTGCGGAATTTTTATTAAAATTTTTATTGAAAAAAAATAAACGAAATATATATACATATACAATCTCGAAAAAGTTTCAAAACGGGAATTTAAAATAAAATCGAATGCTTTTCTAGCAATTCAAATCTATAAATGGAATTGTAAAAAATGGGAAATTCGATAAAATAACTTTTTAATTACAAAACTATCGAATAATTATCAACATAATAATTATCTATTTCGTTCCATTTATTTAAAAGAATTATTTCAATTTATCATTGTTCGATACACAAGAATTATAAAAAATTTTCAATTCTTTCCTCGATTTATTCGATTTTTTTTATTGTATCTCTTATTAAATTAAATTATAATAATTTACACAGTATGTTAAACGAATCACTCCTTCAATCAGCTCTTGTTTCTCATCCTATTTACCGTTCTTATCAATTAAAGGCTTAATAGCCCGTGATTTTCCCACCAATTTCCGTCCACGTGATCTTCTTCCCTTTCTCCAAGGAAAAACGATCACCTTTAAGCCTTTGAGACTTTGTTTTCACCTTCAGAACACATCAGTGTTTCGCAAGAGTTACGCGACGAAAGATGAACTGGAGTTTCGATAGAGATTTCCCTTTTCACGGGGACAGTTTCTTTTTCCTCGAACGTTTCCCTACATCAATAATTCTTTGCGAATGTTTCTGTTGCGCAACGGATCTTAACCAACTTAACGCGCGATAAAAATCTTCCTCGCAAATTCGTGCGTTCTGACTCATTTCCGTGCACGTGCGTTTCGATTGTTTCTCATTTCGTTTGTAGAACATTCCCAAACTTGGGATATTTGCGCAATTGTGGGTATTTTGTAATTAATTTGGATCGATGTTGAGTGTGTGCATAGTAGTAC